TGAAAATTGTGTCAAATACTTGATTTTCAGCATTTAAAAAATATTTCGAAGCCTGAAAAATAATAAAATAAGTTATAAGTACCGTACCATCGCGTTTTCAGTGATTTCCCCATTGGATCAAATGTCGAAATATTATTCACATGACCAAGGCTATAACTATAATTTCAATCATTGTGTCCTACAAAAAATTACATCACACACTTTTAATTGGTGGGGTTGGTTTCAGACGTAACGACATCAGTGTTTCTTCCACACTTTTTTCTCCGGGGAGGGGGCACTTGAAATTTTTGGGGGGGGGGGGGGGGCGGTCGACTTGCTTCGGGGGGGGGGGCGGACACTGTTAAAAGTATTTATTTTCTATATAAATTTCATTTCGTTCGGGGGGGGGGGATTTGCCCCCCCCCCCCCCCCCCCCCCCCCCCCGAAGAGATGCCTGGAAGAAACTCTGAACAACATGAACAACACGACAGGTTGTTGGTAGACAACAATAGATAGGAGGCACATAAAGGCAACAACAAATACGAATATTTTGCTTTCAACTGACTTACTGAATTATACACAGTAATATAAGAAAAAAAGACTCAAATATAATACGATGCATGGCTTTGCTGATTGAACTATTTTCAACATTCGTTGTACTACAACGGTTGTAGGCATTATAGTTTATTTTAATTATAGCCTATATAGATCTAAATCTAGTTTTAAAAAATACGTAGGCCTAACTACCTTTTCTAAAGAGCGATTTTTCGCAAATCTAATTCAAACATAATTTCACGGGACACATTTAGTATGTTAACACGGGCTTAATTATTAATTAAACAAATCTAACCGAAAGTTGTGGGGTTGCAGATTACTGCCAGTCTGGCTGAAACTTTATTCGATTCTGAAAAAGGCCTAGGCTAAACCAGGAAGTGTAACGTCATAACTATTCTTAGATTCGGATATTTCGGCGTAGTTATATTTAATTAAATGACGATATAAACTATATATAGTCTATGGAAAATAACGAAAAATATCATGCAGAGCTTCAGTTCATCCAACAAATGTACTTGATCTAATACTATGGAAATGTAATTGTTGAACGTTGGCATTTGGTACATGAGGGTCGTAGCATGTTGTCACACTGTGTGGTCAGTAATTGTTTAGCTTTACCCTTTGGGGGCAGAGGGCAGAGGTCCAAAAATATTGAACGACTTGGGGACTGTTGAAGATTTAGACTCACTAGAGGTCCAAAAATTACATAACAATGTTGAGTGACGTAAAGACTTCCAGGGTACGCTTGGCTACAGTACTTTGCTTGAGTAGGAGCAGTAGTATCATTCATTAGGTTGCAGAGGCGTAGCTAGGGGGGGGGGCGGGGGGGGGGGGCGGCCGCCCCGGGCGCCGACCCTAGGGGGGCGCCAAAAGGGGTGGAAATTTTTTTTAAAAGCTGATTTTATGCTGCAGTTTTGAATTATAAACAGTCTAAGTTAGGAAATGTAATGGCTACAAGCCTTTAAATACTGGTTTAACTGTTTTCAACATTGAAAATTAACTGTAAAACATATACTCTTAAGAAGCAGTGACCGGCAAAACCGCTTTCCAGCTTTTCCTAGATGGGGGGGGGGGGCGCTTTTTCGAGACTAAAATCAGAAGAATTTACACTATATTGGTGAGTCGATACACGTTACCACTTATAAAAACAACCAATTGTATTAAAACGGTTTATTTAACCGTAAAATACGTTAGTGACTTTGATTAAGATGGTGCAGGGGGGGGGGCGCTTTTAGACTAACTAAAATCGCAAAATTACACTGGATTTTGAGTAAACAACCTTTAGCGCTTAGAAAAGCAACTAATTGTACTAAAGTGCATTGTACAATTGTGTAACATTAATAAAAAGTTAGAAAGCTAGTTACATTAACCCGCTCTACAAACTTTGTCCAAGATGGTTGGGAGGTGTGCGGGGGGGGGGGGGGCTCTTTTGTCGCGAACAAGAGCTAAAAACATAAGTATATTGTACTGAATAGGTCTTTTTTTGCTTGTTACATAACAAGTCCTAATATTGCAATTTTCAAATAGTTAAGGCCACTAGACCTACTAAACGATGTAAAAATGGTACAACACCACAACAGGTGATGATGCTTTGTTACTTTGTTCAACCTAACTGATAATTTAAAACTATAATACACTATTATCGAAATTGTTCTAAAGACACAACCAAAAGTAGACCAAATAAGCTTGCACCTTATACAAACTACACTCTCAAGCAATGGTTCTTAATCTTTTTGGAGGTACCGAACCCTACCAGTTTCACATGATACTAAACTGAATCCTTCTTAATAGCGTCAACATTGACAAAATCTTATCGTGAATCATATGTCGGGTGTGTGTCTTGACCTCCGCCGAAGCTCTGAGACGTACATATCGAACACTTGGGTTCGATGGAACCTAAGTTTAGAACCACTGCTCTAAGCTCTTTTGATTTTCTTTTTTTTTGTTTCGATTTCCTAAGGGGCATAGACGCAGGCAACACTTCGTCAACTCACTTGATTTTTATTAAGATAGAACCCTAGTTCAAACGATTTTCTTCAGGCATTTTTTGTGTCTCCTTCTCTTCCCTATTTCGCCGTGGACTTTACACCAGCACCTGCTTAGTGATGTTATTTACTGCTATTGTGCCCTAACCACCACTTTTTCCATGCTCTTATTTCATTCTTCACTGTCTGTAATCTAGCTCCAAGCCATACAGTAAAAGAGACTTCACATTTAGCTATAGATCCTGACTGATTTTTTTTTTGACAATGCACTTGAATTCCATATTGTCTTAGAGTGTTAAAACGCGTTTAATTGCTGCTGATTATAATTAGAACGTCATAGGTGGTGCCACTACCATTAAACTGATCATTACTGCTTCTTCAACCAGTACAATTAGTTCTGCATTTGTTGTTGACTGTGGACGAGAAGGCAGCTCACATCTACAAAATCCAAGACTTCGAGCTGTTAACAGCCGTTGGATTCCAGTTTGTTTCCTCTATCTTGTTTCGTTATTCCATCAACTAGTCAACGAAATACCCATGTCGTATTCCAATGCGATCAATAAATGTTTCTGATAAGTTGCTCTTGTATCATTTTGTATGTCACTTGTATAACCTTATTCTAACAAACTTATAATCCATCTATGTACCATATCACAACAGAGATCGTTCCAAAAATAGAACATAAAAGGCTGGTCTAAACAAATTAGCGCTTGCTACAAACCACCCTCTAACTCAGATCAGGCTTTTTTTTTCTGACATTACTAATCTTTTGTAAAAGGAAAACGCATCTTAATGGGAATTTAATTGGCGTAGAGTAAAGTTTTAAGGAACGAATATCATACACTGTAATTATTAAACCTTTTCCGGACTGTCGCAAACACGCTTATACACACACACACATACACGCTTACACACACACACACACGCTTACACACACGATTATACGCATATATATATATATATATATATATATATATATATATATATATATATATATATATATATATATATATTGTATTTATATATATAGCCTATACGCACACATAGATATATATGTATATAATTGTATATATATACATATATATATATATATATATATATATATATATATATATATATATATATATATATATATATATATATATATATAAATATGTATATGTATATATATATATATATATATATATATATATATATATATATATATATATATATATATATATATATATATATATATATATATATATATATATATATAAAAGCGGGGGGGGGGCCAAATTGAAAGTTTGCCCCGGGCGCCAGGAAGGGTCGCTACGCCTCTGTTAGGTTGGGCGACACCAGGTGCGGTAACCCAGTGTGTCACCCCATCAGCCAACGACTACACCATCTATATATATAATTCTCTTCTTGGAGACGTTAGAAAACACGAAGCTGTAAGCGCGCCTAGCAGTCCCTTCTTCCTCTCTAGGCCCACATGGGTTCACGCTAAATGTTTACAATCGTAGAGCCGGGTTAAGGACGCCTATGAGGGGCAGATAATTAAGTTTGAAACTATTTTAAACTTAGAGGGGGAGGGGGGGGGGTTTACTGTTTTAAAGCCTATATTTTCAGTGACGGCAATGGGACTGTTGTCGAATTCACAAATTATGAATTACTGAAAAGTAGAAAATAAAACAAAATAGCGGCGTGTAATACGCCGCGGGTCGGCTCGTACATTATAATCTAGATGGTGTTACATCCTCCATCGATGTCAACTAATGTATACAAACATTATCACGTTGGTCAACTAACTGGGGAAATCATACATTATCATTAAAATTAGACATTTTTTTTGTTTCGACGTCACTTGATGTGGCACGCATCCCCCCTCCCCACCCTCCTCCCTCTGCATTGTGACGCAACTGTCTAGTAGGCCTTTAGACAAACATCAGCTTGTAAAGTAGTTGGATAGTTTAAAAGTTAATTTTAAAACTGCTCTAAAATACCAATTGTAAAATGCAAATTTGTGCAGGATTTTATTTTACTCATATTTGTACACATGGTGATTTCTAAATTATGCAGATTGCCACTACACTTAAAGTAAATCATCTTCTTCGTTCTTACTTGTAATGTTACAAGGGATTCCCACCAACACAACTAAGTCTAATGTTTCAACTTGTGATGTGCGATATAGGTCATTAACCCTGATTTCAGGCTTTTATTTTTGGCTTTGCTTCTATGCCCTTTCTCCAACCAAGTTTGATTTTAGAGTTTTCTCTCCGAGATGATTTGATATCCCTAGTTGTTGAGCCTCCTCTACCTGAGGGTTCAAACTCTATACTTTTCGGTTTAGCAACTAGATCATCTATTAGCTATACTAACTTGACCAAGCCGACCGCTTTAAGTAAATCAAATTTGTATAGATCACAAGTTCGAATTTTCTGGAAACTGCAAAATACTAATAGTTGCTCTTACAAGCTAATAAATACAGTTGTAGTGATTTATAATAGTACTGGTTGGCCTACACTTAGTTATATAATATACTGCCTATATGTTTTACACTTCTACTTGTAAAACAGTGAATGCTTGCAGTATTTAAACATGTCTGTGCAAAAAAATAAAAGTTTACAATGAAATATGTTCATGAAAACAGGAATAATATTGATAAATGTTAAGTTATTGAAACAATTCAGTCATATTTATTTACAAGTTTTAGCTACAGAATCACAATGCAAATTAAAATTTCTACATATAAATTTTAATGTTACAGAAATATGTATAAGGCAATGTATAGTCACACAGACAATATATTTAGATATGCATACACAATGTGTAGGTATACACAAAATGTGTAAATGTTCAGATAATAAATGTAGATACACAGACAATAAGTGTAGGTACACAGACAAAATGTGTAGGCATATATAAAATGTGGTGGCATACACAAAATGTGTAGGTACACAGACAATATATTTAGATATGCATACACAATGTGTAGGTAAAACAAACAAAAAATGTCTACTGAGTCCCACAACACGGCCTCTTCTGTCCCCCTCTATGATCTCTGTATAAATTATCTGGTGACAACTTCAGCGCCATGTTGCTCAGTGGAACTCTGGATCCATGGAATAATTCCTTCAGTTTTTTCTCTCTCAATGCTGTGGCTGTAGGGAAAGATATTTTATTATGTTGATAGTTAAATGAGAAGTGTTTTATCCATATATTTTTTATCTGTACCATCGACTATTGAAGTATGTCGATTGTTGGTTTCAATATTGTAAATATTTTTATTTGACATATTTGGCTTAATTAAAGCCCAATGCAGCAATAAAATAATTATTAAAGAAAAACTTACAAAGCTGTTCAAACATGAGGGAGATTCTCTCCCCTGTATGAGCAGAAGTCTCCAGGAAAAAAAGGTTGGATCTCTCTGCTCTTTGTTTACCTTCCTGTGGAGATATGTTATGTTTACTTGGGGATATTTGTAAATAGTTATGTTTCAATCTTTATCTTCCTGTGGAGATATGTTATGTTTACTTGGGGATATTTGTAAATAGTTATGTTTCAATCTTTATCTTCCTGTGGAGATATGTTATGTTTACTTGGGGATATTTGTAAATAGTTATGTTTCAATCTTTATCTTCCTGTGGAGATATGTTATGTTTACTTGGGGATATTTGTAAATAGTTATGTTTCAACCTTTATCTTTCTGTGGAGATATGTGATGTTTACTTGAGGATATTTGTAAATAGTTATGTTTACAATCCTGTTGATATTTGAGATGTTTACTTAGCAATAATGGTAACGAGTATTGTTTTAATGCCTACCCTCCTCTTATAATACGTAATGTGTATGTAACACATATGGTTACCAGCCAAAGGGGGATAAAACTATGAAGTTGTTATTCATTGGGTTGCGGCCCCTGTGGGACTGCAACTGAACTGTTGACGTTTTTTTATGCTTTTGTGAGCGAAATTACCTATGTTCCATGTCATGTGACATGTGCCTAGCCGTGTCGCACACGCAAGGCTGCTGTCTGTGGACCAAGATGTAGACCTAATGAAGGTAGTGTAGATAGTTAAATTATGTTTGTTAAAATACTTACTTATGTAATCCTGCTAGTGCTGCATGTGCACACTAGTTAGGGTGATGTATTAAATTAAGTATTTATTTTGTAGTACTACTTATTGGTACTTGTTGGCAGTACTGTGTACTGGCCGAAAACATAATTTATTGTACCCGTGTATATTGTAGCTTACACGTGGTGTTGTCCTGAATGTAACTTTTTTATTTTACATTTGTTTTAGGGCTACAGTTTCTGTTTCTATTTTGATCTTTTGATCTTTTGGTCTTTTGGATTGTTTGGTTTATCTTGGCTAGTTCGTTTTGTGTTGCATCGCCGTCATGGCTCGATGCTGTAAATAAACGAGTACTGGACAACAACTGTCGGCGTCGGTGTGTACTTAATCTCAGGGTCAGCCCGTCTTAAACCACAACACCTCAGTGGGTAAAAGCATCCCCACTGAGTGAGGGTTATATGTACTTGGAAATAATTGTAAATGTTTTAAACCAAGCAATGTGATGAAAAGGGGAGAAAGGATATGATAGCAATAGTTGACTTTTTAAATTTAGTACCAACAAATCAAAAACTAAAAAAATACCTATATATATATATATATATATATATATATATATATATATATATATATATATATATATATATATATATATATATATATATATATATACATTTGTAACACTGAGCTGAAGAGCAAGTGAAGATTTCTATTAACTGAGCTGAATATAGGAATGGATTCAGCAAATATTATGTCCATCACAGTTATCATCATTTTTTTTTACCAACATCAGGTCTGCCTTGTAATGTAACCAAACTCAAGATATTTAGGTGAGCAGTTGCATGTGCAGCCATACCATTCCATATTTTTTTATAGGTCTAGTTACATAATAACATTCACACAACCACTTTATAAACTTTTAGAAACAGCTGTGTCTAGCACACACAAACAAAAATAAACAAAATAAAATTATGACTAAAACAAGGGAAGACAACTCACCATCTCTGTAACCTCCCTGTCATCAGTTTTATCTATTTTATTTCCAACCAGTAAAACAGGGACGTCATGCGGCAAGTGGTTGGTGATGAAGTACAACCATCTGTCGACATTTTCAAAGGAAACCTGCTCAGGTGGGGGGGGGGGAGAGTGACTTTATTTACTTTTTGTATCATTTATATATTTAATTTAAAATTTAGCTTTTACATGTACTTGTACAATTTCTTCAATTCAAGATATAATATAATATTTTATGTATGTTTTTATACACTGAGAAATCAGTTATATTAAATGGAGGCTATAGGTATAGCATAACACTTAGGCACAACACACATTGTAATTTTCTCTAGTCATCAAATTCCTGATTTGTCAAGCCTTAAAATCCTACATTACTTACATTGTTTTTGACAACCAAACACCTGATTGATTTGTCAAGTTTCTTTATCCTACATGTCTTGTCATGTTTGTTACATCTTACATTACATACATCGAGTGTGGCACCCTACCTACACTGTGTGTGACATGCTGTATTTACTAACCCTGTTTGTGACATCATACACGATGACCACAGCGTCCATGTTGCGGACATAGTTAGCCATCACACCATGGAACTTCTCCTGCCCAGCGGTGTCATAGATGGTGTACCTGATCCTGTCACCATTTGGGTAGGAGACATGTTTCACTGTCAGTTCACAACCTGTTAATAACATGTTTGACTGTCAGTTCACAACCTGTCATAAAAACATGTTTCACTGTCAGTTCACAACCTGTCATAAAAACATGTTTCACTGTCAGTGTACAGCCTGTCTGTCATACAGAGAAAACATGTGTCACGGTCATTGATAATTGGCCAGCCAGAGTTATAACCTAAGTTTAATTTCAGTCAACTATCTAATTTGGACAAGATATTTTATTAGTAGCCAACTACTTAAAAATGAGATGCCCACTGATCACTATTGCCTATTGATACAATATAAATTGCCATATAGATTTAAGAAATTTTTATTTTAAATAGTAAATAGTTTTTGTAATGGCAGCAAATGTGATCCACATGCTATCAGCGTTTGCCCCTGGTCTTCCATATTTCGTAAATTAAATTTGTTTTTTTTTCTTTTATTAACTCAGTGTTGTAGCTTCAATGGGCTGCAACTTCTAACAACTTTAGTGTAATACCTGCACCAACTATATGTGGTGTAGACCTACAGGAAATGTAATTAGAGTATATATATATATATATATATATATATATATATATATATATATATATATATATATATGTTGGAAACAACCAATTTAATCTGGAGGATGGACATAAAATAGATTTTAGATCAAAATAGATCAAATAATTTTTCTTTTAAAATAAAAAGTTATAAAAGTTCTCAGCGGAAAATTTCTACAAACTGTGCTACACAAGATGTCCTACACAAGATGTCCTACACAAGATGTCCTACACAAGATGTCCTACACAAAATGTCCTACACACATTGACAGCACACATACAGTTCACATACACCAACTACACACATACAGTTCACATAAACCAACTACATACATACACAAATTACACACATGCACCAACTACACACATATACCAACTACACACATACACCAACTACACACATTGACAACACACATATAGTTGCCTTTGGAGCAAGCAGTGGAGTCTGTGTGTTAAACGATGACGCAATCGACGTTTTACCGACGTCGGAGTCGCCAAGAATAGAAACTTTAATCTCGAACACAGCCGCCTCTACGGCCTCTTGCATGGCGAATGAGCTGCAAGCAGGGAAATGACTTAAAGTTAAAGAAGTTTTCGTATTGTGTGAAGAAACATACCTGGCACAAATTTAGTAAAATAATAAATACGTTTATTTAGCTTTATGGTGTTGTGTTAATGGTGTTCATTAATGAAAGGATTATTTGTATAATAGTAGGCCTATTAAGCTTGTTTACTGCTAAGTCAAACATACTCAAATTCAAATTTATTCAAATTTATTCAAAAAAACGGTTACAATTGTAGGCACGAAGGCCTTTTTTCACATTGGCCGTTTAAACAAATAAAACTGAAGTCGATGAGTATTAAAAAAAAAAACAACGAGTAGATCTAGTAGTTTAGATGATTTACAAATTTAAGCAAAGAAGACTACTTAACTTATTTTATACATTTAGCACAATTTAATAATTTTTTTAAATATTTAAAATAAAGTAATCTTACCTGGCAGCCTCCATAGTTATCTCCCCTATTTCATCAATCCCAAAATGTCATTTTTCTCAACTCATAACTACACACTTTCCTAAAGACAGATTCTATTTTTAGCTAAAATCACACGATGTTTAACAAGAGACGAGTATTTATAGTCAAGTATTTATAAACACATGACAAAGAATCCTCACACAAATTCCTGTTCTAATGTAGCAAGCTGAACTAGTCCGTATCTTGTGATGGAGATATCCAGCCGACCAAGATACGTACAACACCCTGCATGTGACATTGAAAACAAGTGGATTCATTAAGCTGACAAGTAATCAAAGTCACGTGATTAATTATCTACACTGGTGGGTGTTAGAGGCGGGTGGATGACACCACACCACCACTTTTGATATCAGTACATTAATGGACGGCAGCGGGGTGGGTGTAAATATGTAACACTAGATCTGGCTTTTTTCTTTTTTCACATACATGGCTTTTCTTACATCACTTTCTGGCGCTACTCAAACTTAGTTTTCTTCCCTTAGGATGAAGGGTACTGCAACTACAACAACGCCTATTTACTGTGGTAAACATCTCAATCTTTACCGCCACTCTTATCAAACCCAGTCACCACCCCCCTCCACTCTGTCTTGTTACCACACCTCTGTCTAACCCAAGACATGTTTACTATCCCTATCCCTATCACTACCCCTCTCCAAACCTACCAATATGCCATCACTAGCTACTTTCTATTACCTCTTTTTCACATCACACCCCACAACTTTATTTCACCAACATTTTATTCTTCTCTACATTTTATCTGCTTGTTCATTTGTTTATATAGGCCTACTTTTCTCCTGTCAATAAAATCTGACGACTTGTTCTATATTTAGACAACATATCCTCAAGACCCACTTCTCTTGTGGTCCCCCCCCCGTAATGCGATAACCAACACAGTGATCAGCCGGACATCAAACAACGTTCACAAAGACAAACATTGTGTTATCTACCGTTACATTGGCTCTGTTATCGTTATCTCTGCTGACGTAATGTTATCTCGTGAGGTTAAATAGTTGACCGAGTGTTGGCTCGGGAAAGTGGTTGTAATAGGGCTGGACAGGGTCCTTTGTTGATGTGTGATGGTGTGCTGATGTTCTGATTGTTGAAGTTAGGATGGTGTGGTACTGACATTTGTGTTGGTGTGATGATGATATGCTGATGTTCTGTGTGTTGAAGTTAGGATGGTGTGGTACTGATCTTTGTGTTGATGTGCTTATGTTATGTGTGTTGATGTGCTTATGTTCTGTGTGTTGATGTGCTTATGTTCTGTGTGTTGATGTTCTGTGTGTTGATGTGCTGATGTTCTGTGTGTTGATGTTGTGATACTGACCTTTTTGTGGATGTGATATTTGATGTTGATTATTTATGTTAGTTTGGTGTTACTATGTTTTTCTCTATACATCTATAGCATGCTTGTAAATTATGAGGACAAGGTGTTGGTCATTTGGTGACATGGTGTTAATCAGTTGTTGATATGGTGTTGGTCATTTGTTGATATGGTGTTAGTCATTTGTTGACATGGTGTTGGTCATTTGGTGACATGGTGTTAATCAGTTGTTGACATGGTGTTGGTCATTTGTTGATATGGTGTTAGTCATTTGTTGACATGGTGTTGGTCATTTGCTGATTAACATATCAGGTCTTTTGGCTTCACGCTGAGATAACAGACTTGTGACCACAGGTGGCTACACCAGTAGCCTTAAATGGTTGTGATAGCTTTAGCAGTGCCAAATTGTAGCAACACATAGTAGTGCTACATGTAGCCACCTGTAGCAGTGACACATGTAGCCTGAAACTGTACAAACATACCACTCTGTCTGTCAAGTTGTGTGAATGACTTTGTGTGGGGATAGTTGTGTGAATGACTTTCGTGTGTGTGGGGATAGTTGTGAGAATGACTTTGTGTGGGGATAGTTGTGTGAATGACTTTGATATGTGTGGGAAAGGATATGAATGACTGTGTGGGGATAGTTGTGTGAATATGTTGCCATTTTTGCTTTCTTCAAATCGATACAGTTACTCAACAAGGCGGGGAGGACTCAAGCTCATAAGACCAACATTATTACCTCATTATTCACCACCAAGGTGTTTTGTTTATCATCAACACAAAACGTTAACATTATCAACGATAACAAAAATGAATGAAAGAAACTTTGAAATCTACTAAATCTTTTTGACATCAGCATAATATACACATTAGAATAAATTAAAATCAACAGACATAAAATATGCACAAAAATATTATTTCATTAAACATTTGTTTATAATTTTGTTTGTGTCTAACAACTCTAAACAAATGACTGAAAGAAACAAAACAATTTATTTCTTGTCTGCACCAGAATACAAAGTTGCTGATGAAGACATTCAAGTCTTGACACACACAAGTTACTGAAAGGAGCCGCCTTTTTGTTTGTTTACATTAGACAAGGGGAGGGAACCAACAGTTACATTAGACAAGGGAAGAGAACCAAGTTACATTAGACAAGGGGAGAGAACCAACAGTTACATTAGACAAGGGGAGAGAACTAACAGTTACAGATTGATCAAAACCACACATACTCCCCACTATAATTTCCTTCAGAGTTTGATCCACTGTGGGGACGTGACAACCACCTGACATATCCCGGCATGTAGACATGTGCTCCACTGGAGCCTGGACATGTACATGTTGTGTACGTGTACTTGTACCAAAGATTTATTTTATGTTGGTGTGTCCATTGTCCTACAGAGACCTGTTTAGGACAGCCATGAGGATGTGACACTATAACGGTCAACTTGTCCACATAAGATAATCTCCAGTATTTGTCCCTTGCTTTCACCCAAAAATCATAAAAGTGCCGCCACATCTTGTCCAGTTTATCAACCAACTCTAAGTCACATGACACACATGCAAACTCACACCCGTCTTCCTCAATGTTTACCCCTCTCACCCCCCAGCCATCAAGACTGACCCCAGGACTTTTATTGTCATCAAAACCTACAACACACCTGGTCTGTCTCGCCTCACTCTCATCAAACACCACGTGTGTGGCTGTCCTCACACAAACCTCCCCCCACACTTTGCTGGGTGTGTCCGAGTGTTGACACTTGCCACATGGACAAGTGCCCTTGGTGTCACTCTCTGTGTACTTGACCACCTCACACACCATCCCCGTCCCTGTCCTCAACACATCACTTCCTCTGGTGTTATAAAATGGATACTGACCACTGAAGCATGGAACAGACTTTGGCCTCCCTAGACTGGTGAACTTGACCTTTATCAGGACCGTTAGGGCAGACAAAGTTTTGATTGCCTCCAACATGATGACGTCACGCCAACGTGAGGGGAGATGACCCAAGTTAAAATCATTAACAGGTATAAAGTTGACATGACCTGGATTCTTCTTACAGCTGGTATAGTGCTTGTGTAAGTCAGCTTCACCTCCATAGCAGATCTCGGCTTCATGATGTCCTGGGGAGATACAAGGGGAGGGAATTTGAAGATAAAAAGTAATATTAACAAATCAATAAACACATAATGCTACAAAGGGAGATCATTTATAATAGTAAAAAAATGACAAAATATTTCCTACCTAAAAATATCTTACCTGGTTTAAAGACAGGTTCATTTTGCGTTTCAGCCATGTTTAGAACTGGTTTTAATTTTCTATAATCTGAAAATAAATTTGAACTAATTACACAGCCTGTGATGTATGCAGTCATGTCAGCCATTCCACAACCAGTTTAGATGTCACATGATCAGAGAGAGGAGTCTTGATAGTATATGCATATTTACTTATTATAAACAGTCAATGACACGTCTCCTATGGTACTTTAAGTATATCAAATTGTTAGACAATGTAACACTCAATTTAGACATAATAAATTGTATATTTTTAAATAAAACTTACGAGTTGTTTAATTAATATATCAGTTCTGTATATTAAAAATTAGTTTTTGTTTAAATCTTTTAATTTATGAAGTAAAACTGTACTTAATTTCAGGTGATTAGTCAGACACATTTTTAAAACAATCATTAATGGTGTAGGAAATGTTTGCAAGTTTTGCTGGTACAATACATTTTATGCCATTCAACAACTTAACATTTTTTAACTGATTTCAAATTAGTAAACATTAGTGATCAGTTTTTAAAATATAACAAAATAGTTTAAATTTAAATTTATTAATTAAAAGTAACTAGTTTTCACAACAGATACAGATGCTCTTGTCATCAGCATACCACCACTCACTAATTAAATCAACCATTCATTTGTTCCTGCTGTAAAACTTATTTAAAAGTTGTAAATCCTCACCTTCCAAATTCCACTACAAAATCCTTGCCTGTATAGCCCTGATTTCTGTACTGTAGTCTTTAGTGCTTTACTAACTGTCAAAAAGAAGGATAAAAATTTTAACTTGCAAAATGTACAAAGAGTCAAAATAAAGCCGAAGAATTAACCATTCTTTTAAAATATTTTAAAATCAGGTTTAAATACTAATGGAGTTCTCATAGCACATGCTAAATATCTAAATATGCACAATGGAACAATGTATTAAGTTACCATTTGACTTAACTGTGTAGTGACATATTAGGCATCCATTTGTGATGTCTGATGTTGGCTGAGCTTGTGATGTCTGATGTTGGCTGAGCTTGTAATGTCTGATGTTGGCTGAGCTTGTGATGTCTGATGTTGGCTGAGCTTGTGATGTCTGATGTTGGCTGAGCTTGTGATGTCTGATGTTGGCTGAGCTTGTGATGTCTGATGTTGCCTGAGCTTGTGATGGTCGATGTTGGCTGAGCTTGTGTCCTGTAACATCCAGTCAAATATTTTTGCAAGGGTCCTCAAATAATTTATTTAGTTTTATGACATGAAAGTACATGAAAGAAGAAAATGTATTACAATGGATTGAAATATGTAAAAACACAAGGATAAAGTGTCTATGTAATTTTACTATTTTATTTTAGTATTTTGTTTGTTTTGTGAGAGAATAAACAAATTCAAAGTGTTAAATTTTTTGGATGAAGTCCTCTACATCCTAGTTGAAGAGTAAACTATAGTAAAATAAGTGGCTTTATATTGTGTCAAACATTAAATGCATTACAAAGTAAAAATGTTAATTGCAGTTCATTATTTTATCTGAATTTATCAAATTACATTTCCCCTTAAAAATTAGAAAACCATGTAGGTAGGATGTGTGATTGAATTTATTTGATTGATAATTCTGGCTATGATATTAAATGGCTTTAAATGTATTTGACATTCATAAGCTAA